CTGTTTGTCTATGTCTGTCTGTCTGTGAGTGTCTGTGGCTGTCTGTCTGTGAGTGTGTCTGTGTGCGCGCGTGTGTGTGTCTCTCTGTCTGTGCGCGCGTGTTTGTCTGTGTCTGTGTCTGTCTGTGAGTGTGTCTGTGTGTGTGTGTGTGTGCGCGCGCGCGCACGTGTGTGTGTCCGAGTGTGAGTGTGTGTGTCTCTGTCTGTGTGTGCGCGCGTGTGTTTGTCTGTGTCTGTGAGTGTCTGTGTGCGCGTGCGTGCGTGTGTCTGTGTGCGAGTGTGTGTGTGTGTGTGTTTGTCTGTGTCTGTCTGTGAGTGTGTCTGTGTTTGTCTGTGTCTGTGAGTGTGTGTGTGTGTTTGTCTGTCTATACACACCTGTCTGTGTGTGTGTGTGTGTTTGTCTGTCTGTCTGTGCGCGCGCGCGCGCGCGTGTGTGTCTGAGTGTGATTATTTTGGTCAGTATTGTAATCATGATTATTTAACACGATTATGAGTGAGCCATATGACCAAAACTTTATACGAGTCATTTATTTAAAGGTAGTGATTATATTTTAAATATATATTTTCTGCATATATTTGCAGAACATTTTAAATATATATTATCTACATTTTAGAGACCAGCGAAATTTCACGATTCTCAATACCACAGCAGAGTACTAGGGTGACTGATATTAATAACAAACAAAAAAAAGTCCTCAAAATTATTCAAAATAATTAAACTGTCAGTAATAAAAAAAAAAAAGCAAAGGACAAATGCAATAATATAAAAATATACAAATGAAACAAACTGTGCATTAAGGTTTTTTTTTATGCAAGTTTCAAGTATTCCGTTAACAGAAATTAATAATCTAAAGTAAAATAAAACAGCATAGTCTTCACTGTAAGAATTAAACTTTCTTTGTTTCTTGTTGAAGCTACAAAAGTCCTTCACTCAGGAGCAGGGAGTGATTTTGTCTTTTGTTGTTTGATTAATATTAAGCTCACAGTCAGCAGCAGGAATATTAGGCTGCTGTCACTTTAAGAGCCGCATGGATCCAATTTACCTTTACACGTGTATTTTCATTCTCAACTCTTTATGATCATTTATTACATGACCGATGAAGGTTTACGTGAATAATCACTAAGCGCCGCATTTTTACATTTTTGTGTGTATTTGACCATTTAGGCACGCACCTTGAGATTTGCATGTGAAACTGGGCTTTTATGGAAGAATGAAAGCGCACCGCTGGAAAGGGGGTGGAATGGGGCGCAATAATCGTTTTATCTCAATTATTGTATTTTCATAATCGTTGGAGGCTGAAATCGAAACTGTTTTTCGATTAATTGCACAGCCCTAACTAAAACTAGCTCCTAAATCTGTGTTTTGTGAATACGGGCCCAGATGTAGATGTCCTTGGGCTGCGTGTTTCTCTGTAGCATGTTGTTGTTGTTGTTGTTTCTCTTAGCGTGTTGTTGTACACGCATGTGCTCAGCTCAGTCTTTGTCCTGTATCAGGGCGTTGTGCTCATTCTGTGTGCGGCGTACCGTACGCTGATGAGACGAGACGAGCAGCATGTGAGAGCGCAGAACACGTTTATATGGTGTGTGTCTGAACCGCGGCTCCTGATTGGCTGGTTCTTCTGATCTGCACTGTTTATGTAACGGTGGGTCATGTGACTCCAGTGATGTCACTGCTTCAGCGTCTCTGTGTGATTGACACCTGCATGAGAGAGACGGAGCTGCTGGAGAAGATGCCGCTGCGCTTGCTGTTCTGGGAACTGGAGCACCGCAGGTAAACGTGAGAGTGTGTGTGTGTATGTGTGAGTGTGTGTGTGTGTGAGAGAGTGTGTGTGTGTGAGATAGTGTGAGAGTCTGTGTGAGAGTGTGTGTGAGCGTGAGAGTGTGTGTGTGAGTGAGGGAGTGTGAGTGAGAGTGTGCGTGAGAGAGAGAGAGAGTGTGTGTGTGTGTGTGTGTGTGTGTGAGAGAGAGTGTGTGTGTGTGTGTGTGAGGGAGAGATGGACAGATCTGCTGTGGCGTCTCCAGTGATCCTCTTTCAGATTCTTCCTCTGAAATGCTTAATTAGATGATTGAGTTACTCTAGTTTCTGGATGAGTGTTCGTTTCTCTGAAGAAGGAACTGATGAATCTGAAAGGGGAAGTCATTGGATTCACCACCGCAGACAATAAACGTGACTCAATCATCTCGTCATGTCTGATGCTTTTGTTTGCTCATCATTGTTCAAACCAGGTAATACTGATGAGTTAGTGGTGTTTTGTGTTCTGAAATCTCGAGGTAACTCACTCTGGTTCTGTGAGGTTTGTTCAGAGCTGATGTGTTTTTAGGCAAAGTCTGGTTTCTGCTCCTCATCTCTGTGTTCAGTGGAGTAGTGGTTACGTAAAGCATTAGTACGGCCTCATACATCTTTCAGTGCGTATGGAAAGAAGAATGTGTTGAACAGCCTGAAGTACTGAGTCTGATATCTGGATATTTGGACAAGCACTTAATGAACTTGACATGCATTAATTTCATCAGAGCTGCTATAATTTCATTGAAGGTTTGATACCAGGCATGTTTTCTTCTTTTCTTGACCAATGTAAGTGTCCTGCATGTGAGCTACACAACAAATATCATTCATTCATGTATATATATATATATACATACATACAGGTACATCTCAAAAAATTTGAATATCGTGAAAGTTTTTTTTTTTTTGTAACATTTCAAAAAGTGAAACTTTCATATATTCTAGATTCAGTACATGTAAAGTGAAACATTTCAAAAGTTTTTTTGTTTTAATTTTGATGATTAAAGCTTACAGCTCATGAAAGTCAAATCCAGTGTGTGTGTGTATATATATGTGTGTGTGTGTGTGTATGTGTATGTATATATATATATAGAGAGAGAGAGAGAGAGAGAGAGAGACATTAAGGGGTTTGATTGAGTGTGATGTACCTTAGGTGTATGACTTTGGTTCATTTATTAATTTTTCTGTAGTTGTATCACATATATATAAAGACTTGTAGTCCTTGAAATCTGCTAATTGAATAAATGTAAATGTGACCTAGAATCGAGTCTGTGCTTCATCTATTGAGGACAGTTCTGCTCTTTCTCCACTTACATTTGTTGCTTAATGATTTTTCTCTCTTTTATCATTTTTGTATAGTCTGTGGCCTCTTTCTTTCTCTTTCATTATAATACTAATATGTTTGAGTTATTATGGGTGTGTTGTTCTGTTGCATAATGTTTCCTGTGAAGCTATTATTATTATAGTTTAGTTTTATTTAAAATTTGACAAGGCAGGTTATTGCAGCACACAAAAAAAGAACAGTTGCTTTTTTCTTTTAGCAGCACAACCTGAATTGCGTCAAAAAATAATATAAATAAATAGTATTATAATAAAAGTTATTTTTTTAAACGGTGAATTTCCTTTGGAACATATTTTGATAAACAAGCAGCGGTTGTGTTTGCAAACAGGGAAATAAGCAGGCTCCCTTGTCGGCGCTGCTCGGTTCTGCTCGGCTATGTTCGTGAGCAGCCGCAGAGGGCGGGGCTTGGCATAGATTAGTCAAATACCCCGCGCTCTCAGCCAATGGCGCGCCGCTGTGCGCTCCGTCTCTTATTATGCTAATAACGCAGCGGCTGCGGATCTCCCGCACTGTAAATCTCATTCCGAGCGCCTTTGTGGGAATCCTCGGGAGAAATCACGCACAGCATCGAGAATGTGACGCTTCTGCATCTGTTTGTGTGATTCTGAGCGCTTGATGGACGGAATAGAATGAATTCTCCGTGTTACCCGCTGGCGATGGATGTCGGTGTTTGTCAGCTCAGGAGTTTTTCCATCTCGTTTCTGTCGTCGGTTCTGGGCGCGGAGAGTCTAGATAACAGGTGAATATTACCTGATACCGCGATGCTGCTGTGAATGTGATGTAATGTCCATCTGAAGGATCCTTTCGCTTCGATTTTGTGCATCTTCTTCTCAGAAGCGTCGCGTTATGCAGTTTCTCCTGCTGTGTGTTTATGCGGATCTTACGGAACATCATC